TGAGGCAACAAAGACGTTGTTCTACAGAAAGATTCTGAGAATATCAATGCAAGAGCCACGGGGAAATTTTAAGGAAAATCGGAACAAAAACAATACTTGACCTTAGGATCAGAAAGCGACAACTGAAATCTCTAAGACACATAATAAGGGGTTAATTGATTTATTTTTTACGTCTTATCAACCCTTTGTATGTTATTTAAAGCCGAAATATATTTTGGTTGTAAGGATAACTATTTTTTGCGATTGAATATTGCTTTAACAATTTCTTTGAGAATACCAAATTCTACTATTTAACCCGTAGCTTGTGGGAAATGGAAAACAGGCATGGCATATTTCACACTGAGAGGGCACGGTCAGAATGAAACCTATCTAAAGAGCTTGTGTTAATAGATGGCAAAAGTGAGACTGGGAGGGAGAGTAAGGGGACAAATATTAGGGATAAAAAGGATAAGAAGTTGTGGAGAGTCATGATCGCCAACGTCATGAAAGGACACAGCTTATAAAAAAAGAGATTTAGTCAGCTATACGGGTATAGTTAGGTCGAATTGCAAACGTTTGAATGATTCTAACAGAATATATCCATTTGCGACTAGTCATTGTCCCAAGATGACAAGGAGGCGGGAATTTACTGAAGCAATGAATCTCTTGTCAAAACTCGTTGCTAGGTTTCCAGCCAACTCCTTTGAGTGTTGCCTGCTGCTGTTTCGATGCCAATCGATTGTTAACGACTTTGGGTGGAGGTGACTGTTTACCAAATCATTTTCCCCCGGTCACATGAAGAGCAATGTGTGTTTTATTTAGATTATTTACTTTATTTGATCATCTTTTCATAATGGATGTCTAACCTTTGTCTTTCCGTCCAGGGATTGACGATATACTCCATCCGTGTCTTGGGTAAGACGATAAACTACATCCGGTAGCAAGTCTCTGATCAGGAAGTTTTGAGAAGCGTGGAACCGCCTCTTAATTGTTGGTGTTCCCAGGTCCACCCTGACACGTGGTAGTATCACCGGTTAGGGTCCCAGCAATGGGCAAATAGTTAACCCCTAAAATGAGCTCCAAACACTATGAAAGTGTAAAAATAGATTTTAGTACCAGCAATATATTATTGTAAAAAATTGTTACTAGAAATTAATTTTTAAGAGAAAAATTATTACCAGCAATACATTTTTGAAAAATAAATTATTACCAGCAATATATTTTTGAAAAAAAATTATCAGCAATATATTTTTAAAGAAAAAAATTATTACCAGCAATAATTTTTTGAAAAAATATATTTTTTTGAAAAAAAAATTATTACCAGCAATATATTTTGAAAAAAAATTATTACCAGCAATATATTTTGAAAAAAAATTATTACCAGCAATATATTTTTGAAAAAAAATTATTACCAGCAATATATTTTTGAAGAAAAAATTATTACCAGCAATATATTTTTTGAAAAAAAATTATTACCAGCAATATATTTTGAAAAAAAAATTATTACCAGCAATATATTTTTTGAAAAAAAATTATTACCAGCAATATATTTTTGAAAAAAATTATTACCAGCAATATATTTTGAAAAAAAAATTATTACCAGCAATATATTTTTTGAAAAAAAAATTATTACCAGCAATATATTTTTGAAAAAAAATTATTACCAGCAATACATTTTTGAAAAAAATTATTACCAGCAATATATTTTTGAAAAAAAATTATTACCAGCAATATATTTTGAAAAAAAATTATTACCAGCAATATATTTTTGAAAAAAAATTATTACCAGCAATATATTTTTGAAGAAAAAATTATTACCAGCAATATATTTTTTGAAAAAAAATTATTACCAGCAATATATTTTTGAAAAAATTATTACCAGCAATATATTTTTTAAAAAAAAAATTATTACCAGCAATATATTTTTGAAAAAAAAATTATTACCAACAATATATTTTTGAAAAAAATTATTACCAGCAATATATTTTTGAAAAAAAAAAATTACCAGCAATAAAAGAAAAATTATTACCAGCAATATATTTTTGAAAAAAAAATTATTACCAGCAATATATTTTTGAAAAAAAAATTATTACCAGCAATATATTTTTGAAAAAAAAATTATTACCAGCAATATATTTTTGGAAAAAAATTATTACCAGCAATATATTTTTGAAAAAAAAATTATTACCAGCAATATATTTTTGAAGAAAAAACATTAGTAGAAATACATTTTTGAACAAGACATCTTTCCAAGACATCTTTCTTTTTCTCCCGAAATTCTCTCTTTCTCTCTTTCATTTTTCTTATTTTCCTCTTCTTCTTTATTTCCTCATTTTGTCCTCATTTTTAATCTCTTCTCTTTTTCTCTATACTTGCGCCTTTCTTTATCCCTCTCGATATTTTTAATACCTTCTCCCCTTCCGATTAATTCGCTCTCTCTCTCTCTCTCTTTTCCTTCCTTTTTCTTTCTTTCATTTTCTACCTTTTTATTTTTTTAGCGTTTTTTCTCATTTTTTTTCGCTCGCAATCTTTCCGTCCCTATCTCTCTGTCTTCCTCTCTCTCTCTCTCTCTCTCTCTCTCTCTCTCTCGACATATTGTCCTTTTCTTGCTCTGTCCACTTTTTCTCTTTCTCTTTCGGTTCTATGATTCTTTTTTTTATGTTTTATAATTTGCTCCTCATTCCCGTCATTTTTTTAATGCGCCTTTTTTTTTTCTTTTCTCGAAATTCTTTTTCATTCCCTAACACTTCTAAAATATAAACGAGGAAGAGACTTGAAGCAACAGAGATGCTGATGAATGTCATTAGAAGCAAAGAAAAGCATCCTGGACTGCTATGTAATATCTAATCTCTTCTATGAGAGTGAATGCTGGACAATCTCTTCACAGATGAAGAAGAGACTTGAATCAACAGAGATGTGGTTCTACTGATGAATTTCCTTAGAAACAAAGAAAAGGATCCTGGACTGCTATGTAATATCTAATCTCTTATATGTCAGTGAATGCTGGACAATCTCTTCACAGATGAAGAGACTTGAATCAACAGAGATGTGGTTCTATTGATGAATGTCCTTAGAAACAAAGAAAAGCATCCTGGACTCCTATGTAATATCTAATCTCTTATATGGGAGTGAATGGTGGACAATCTCTTTACAGATGAAGAATAGAATTGAAGCAATAAAATATCTGGTTGTACTGATGAATGTTCTTAGAAACAAAGAAATACTCATGGACTTCTATGTAATATCTAATCTAATACATGGCAGTGAATGCTTGAAAATCTTCTCACAGATGAAGTTGACATTTTGGGCAACAGAATGACAGGAAGTTGTGAAGAGCCTCGATCACCCATGTCCAAGGGCACGATATTTCAATTCGTTTAAAACCAGTTATCGCATGTGCTCTCTCTCTTTATCTGTTAAACATACTTTCTTCTTAATTACATCCATCTTGCCTCCGGGCATGACTCACCCATGATAAAACCTTTTCTTTCCGCCATCTTTGTCATTACGCTCAAATCTTCTGTGCTCTCAGCAGCAAAACTGTGAAAATATTTTAAGTACGTCAACGTCATCATTACGAAGGACTTCATCTTGTGTTTACCCGCTGCTGTCTTTTATGGATTAGTTCTGAGCCTCAATTCGAGGCGAACAAACTTTCAAAATCCCAGTGTCCATGTTGAGACGCGACTTCATTGAAAAGGCGACAATTGGTAGAGATTGGCCATTTTGTTTGATATAGGATTAGAGAAAATCTCACGGCTTTCGTACGTAAACACAGAAAACGCGAATGGCAGAGACAAAGATGGAGTGATAGATTTGTATGGATTAATGAGCCTCGCGTTGGAAATGGTGAACGAAACACTCATTCTCCATTTTTGTGTTTTGCTTACACGAGAGTTGCATTTTTAATAAGAATTTATTTTCAGTTAGGAGTTTATAAATGAGATTCTCTCTCTCTCTCTCTCTCTCTCTCTCTCTATATATATATATATATATATATATATATATATATATATATTTCATTTTGTTCATATCTATCTAGTTAGTTCTCTTTATATATATGTGTATCTATAACTCAGTCAATTCATATCTATCTTACAGTCAGTACATATCTATCTGTGTTCATATCTATCTATTTCATTTCTTCCATATCTATTTATCTAGATAGTTCTCTTCACATCTATCTATCTATCTATCTATCTATCTATCTATCTATCTCTCTCTCTCTCTCTCTATATATATATATATATATATATATATATATATATATATATCGATCGATTTGTTTGAGAATGAATTAATATCTTTGTTACTTGTCTTACACGTATATTTAAAAATATCTATCTATCTATCTTAAAGTAAACATTATCTATTTATCTGACAGTTATATCTATCTATCTATCTATCTATCTATCTATCTATCTATCTATCTTATCTATTCCAGTTTGTTCATTATCTATCTATCTATCTATCTATCGTTTTGTCTATATTGCTATCTCTTGGATCTGCCTTCCAGGGCAAACATTTTTGGGACTGTAACACCCTCTCACCAACTTGTGGCTGTTTTTTGCCTCACACTTATATTTATATCTATCTATCTATCTATCTATCTATCTATATATATATATATATATATATATATATATATATATATATATATATATCGATCTATTTGTTTGAGAATGAATTAATATCTTTGTTACTTGTCTTACACGTATATTTAAAAATATCTATCTATCTTAAAGTAATCATTATCTATTTATCTGACAGTTATATCTATCTATCTATCTATCTATCTATCTATCTATCTATCTATCTATCTATCTATTCCAGTTTGTTCATTATCTATCTATCTATCTATCTATCTATTGTTTTGTCTATATTGCTATCTTTTGGATCTGCCTTCCAGGGCAAACATTTTTGGGACTGTAACACCCTCTCACCAACTTGTGGTTGTTTTTTGCCTCACACGTATATTTATATCTATCTATCTATCTATCTATCTATCTATCTATCTATCTATCTATCTATCTATCTATCTATATACATATCGATCTATTTGTTTGAGAATGAATTAACATCTTTGTTACTTGTCTTACACGTATATTTAAAAATATCTATCTATCTTAAAGTAATCATTATCTATTTATCTGACAGTTATATCTATCTATCTATCTATCTATCTATCTATCTATCTATCTATTCCAGTTTGTTCATTATCTATCTATCTATCTATCTATCTATCTCTATCTATCTATCTATCTATTGTTTTGTCTATATTGCTATCTTTTTGGATCTGCCTTCCAGGGCAAACATTTTTGGGACTGTAACACCCTTCCACCAACTTGTGGCTGTTTTTTGCCTCACACGTATTTATATCTATCTATCTATCTATCTATCTATCTATCTATCTATCTATCTATCTATTGTTTTGTTTATATTGCTGTCTCTTGAATCTGTCTTCCCCAGCAAACAGTTTTTAAACTCTTACCCCTTTCCCGTCCTTGTGGCTGTTGCTTGTCTCATACATATATTTGAAAAGAAAACAACTTTTTTTTTTTATATATATTCCGACTGGCGAGTCGCAAAATATCTAGAAGCTGTGACGTTTTTCTGTCTTTCGTTCATAAACTTTTGTTTTGTTTCTTACGCTCGCCTCATCTCCCAATGAGTTTTTATTATTATTTTTTATTTGCTTTTATTTTCCCCAAACATCCTTCATACCACCCAACGAACTTTTACTCCTTATCATGTCAAATGTTTACACCAAAGATGAATTCGAGCAAGCCTCCTTCATACTCCAACACTTTCCTTACTATTCTTGCCGCTTTGCTGTCTTTTGTGTCGTCTCGACTCTTTTCCCGATTTCCCTTTTCTACAATATTTTCATCGTGCTCTCGAGGATCGTTCCCAGTGCTCCGGTATTCGCTGAGACGACTGTCAACTTTTTATTGCTGCCTAATTTTCTACACCGACTTGCAATGTAGAGATACTTATCAATACCTTCACTTTCATTCACGTCAACTCTGTAGTCTGCCAAAGCATCGAAATTTCCAATATGTTTTCTTCATGTTTGCTCAGTTACCGGTAGATTAATGTTCCCACCCAGTCAAACGTATCATTATTATTAACACGTTCTTTTCGTGCTTTGCTGTTTATTGTAATTCTTTGTTATATATTTTCTTCTTGTTTTTAATTCAAGATCTGTGTTACTTGCCTAGATTGGCTTGGCCGTTTGAATAAAATCCGATAGAATTTTATTTCATTATTTGGAAAAATGATTCAACTGTGATTCTACCACTGGTCAATATGGTAAATGAAATCACTTGCACAATTATCAGTAGATGAATTTTCACATCCACATTATTATTATTATTATTATTATTATTATTATTAGCCTTTGATTTCTGGTGTGGACTCATTTCTTTCCAGGTCATGACCAGAGACCAAAGGTCAGAAATGGCATCATTACGTTCTCCACTGAAAGAAAAACACACACACACACACACACACACACACACATTTACATAGATAAAGCCCTTCATAATATGTGTGGGCTGTACACATGAAAACATTTTTTTGAATTTCTTTAACGCAAGGGCTGTCAGGAATCCCATTTAATGAGTCTTTTGGAAGATTTTCCAATCAATCCTAGGGCTCCAAATATACATTGCAGTCTGCAGGGATTGCCATACCAATAAGGAATTTTTTGTATGCGACCTCTAATAACAACAGAAAGAAAAAAAAAACAAAAACAAAACAACAACACATATTTTACATAGATAAAGCCCTTCGTAAAGTATGGGCTGTACTCGTGAGAACAATTTATTGTATTTCTGTAAGGCATAGGCTACCAGGAATCCCTTCAATGTGTCGGTTAGAATATTTTCCAATCAATCTGAGGGCTCCAACTACAAAAGGAATTGTTGATGTTCTCATGCGCCACATTTTTGAGATTTCGATTTCAAGGTCCTTATATTTTGATAGCTTTTTGAAGATCTTCAAAAATACATTGCAGTCTGCAGGGACTGCAATATCAATAAGGAGGCACATTTAGCCTTTGCTGTCTCTAATCACGATGTTTAGGCGATTAGCTGTGATTGTTCTGTCTGTGTGTATTGTGTAGTCCCATTATTATTATTATTATTATTATTTCCTTTGATTTCTGTTGTTTACACATTTCCTTCCGGGTCCCAACCAGAGATCTAAGGTCAGAAATAGCATCATGACATTTTCCACTGACCAATTAAAAAAAAAACAAAAAAAAACAACAGCACACATAATTTACATAGATAAAACCCTTCGTAAGGTGAGGGCTGTACTCTTGAGAACAATCTTTTGTATTTCTTTAAGGCATGGGCTTCCAGGAATCCCTTCAGATAGTCTACTGGAATCTTTTCCAAGCAATCTGAGGGATCCAACCACAACAAAGATTGCTGATGTTCCCGTCTGCCACATTATTATTATTATTATTATTATTATTATTATTATTATTTTCCTTTGATTTCTGGTGTATACACATTTGCTTCTGGGTCCCAACTAGAGACCTAAGGTCAGAAATTGCTTCATGATATTTTTCATTGAGCATTCTTTTTAAAAGATACAAACAAGAAACCTAAGACATAGATAAAGCCCTTCGTAATGCGTGGGCTGAACTTGTGATTACAATGTTTTGTATTTGTTTAAGGTATGGGCTACATATAATCCGATAATTATTTCTATTTTTGCACGATTTTTCAAATTAATGTGTGTCATACCAAAAAACGTGCTAAAATTGTCTATGTTATTTACTAGTTCCGCTGATACAAATAGAAAAAAGTTTTTTTAATCAAAATTTAGAATGTTCTAAAAAGAAGGAAAATTTTTTTAAAATAATTAAAAAAAAAACTTTGGTTTTTCCTCTTAATAATAACATAAGCATTTAGACAATAAAATTTAGTTTTCGGCAAGGTTGGCGTCTTTTTCATCAAGCTATGCTCTTTTTTTTAGCGATTTCGTGGAGGTACCTAATTTAGCGCAAATACAGAACACCCTGAGATTAGATGGTCTATTGGTTCCTGATATTTTTTCAAAGAAACTGCATTTTGGCATTATGCATGATATTTGCCTGAAAGTTCCTTATGAAAAGACTTTGGTCTTCCGCTGTAAGATTAAAGCCTTTCGTTTCAGCCTTTAATCCAGATGCACGTAACTATCAATGAGTATTAAATTTATCAACATCGGCTTTATTAGCCTCGTTCTGAATATTGGTCATGAAGACGTTTCTCTTGCTAGAGACCTAAGGTCAGAAATTGCTTCATGATATTTTTCATTGAGCATTCTTTTTAAAAGATACAAACAAGAAACCTAAGACATAGATAAAGCCCTTCGTAATGCGTGGGCTGAACTTGTGATTACAATGTTTTGTATTTGTTTAAGGTATGGGCTACCAAGAATCCTTTCAATGGGTCTATCAATGTTCTTTCCAATCAATCCGAGTGCTCCAACTACAACTGGAATTATTGATGCCCTCATATTCCACATTTTTGAGATTTATCATAATCACCATTATATTTCGATTTCTACTAAGGTCACATTATCTACCAAGTCTGCGTAGGTAGTGTTGTGTTGTTATGGTTACATTTCAGGATTTGTGTCTCTAACTTCGATACCATCACTCGCGCCAAATGGACAAAGTTCTTCTTAGTGTGTGGCCTGTACTTATCAAGACAATTTCTTTTGTGTTTCTCTAAAGCTGGGATTTCTAGGGATTTATTATTATTATTATTATTATTATTATTATTATTATTATTATTATTATTTTTATTTTCTTTGATTTCTAGCGTTTACACATTTCTTTCCGGGTACCGCCCAGGGACCTAAGGTTAGACACTTTCCACTGACAAAAAAAAAAAAAAAAAAAAAAATTAAATTACATAGATAAAGCCCTTCGTAAAGTGTGGGCTGCACTTGTCAGAACAATTTTTTGTATCTCCTTGAGGCATGGACTTCCAGGAATCCCTTCAATTAGTCTACTGCAATCTTTTCCAACCAGTCCTAGGGCTCCAACTACAACAGGGATTGTTGATGTTCCCAGATGCCACATTTTTTGAGATTTCTATTTCAAAGGTCCTTGTACTTTGACAACTTTTGAATATCTTCAAAGATACATTGCAGTCAGCAGGGACTGCCATATCAATAAGGAGGCATCGTTTTTGTTTGTGGTCTTTATTATTATTATTATTATTATTATTTCCTTTGATTTCTGTTATATAATCATTTCTTTCGGGTCCCAACCAGAGATCTAAGTTTACAAATGGCTTTATGATATGTTCCACTGATCACTTTCGTAAAAAAAATCACAAAACCCTAAGATCATACGCATTTGACATAGATAAAGCTCTTCTTCTTCTTCTTCTTCTTCTTCTTCTTATTATTATTATTAGTAGTAGTAGTAGTAGTAGTATATTTCGATTTCTGCTAAGGTCACAGTATCTACCAAGTCTGCGGGAGGACCTAAGGCAGGTAGTGTTGTGATGCTATGGTTACATTTCAGGATTTGTGTCTCTAACTCCGATACCATCACTCGTGCCAAATGGACAAAATTATTCTTAGTGGGTGGGCTGTACTTATCAAAACAATTTTTTTTTGTATTTCTTTGAAGCAGGAATTTTTCAATGTGTTGTTGTGTTCCCTTTTTTTATCATTCCAAGCACACCTAATATGACCTGTACTATTTTTGTTTTCAATTTTCTACATTTTCTATTTCCATTTCCAGGCCTTTATACATCGATAATTTTTCCAATTCTTTGGTTGCTATGTTACACTCCGCTGGACAAATCATGTCAATTAGTTAGCAATTTTTACTTTGCGGTTTTTGACAATTATGCCCGGCCTATTTGAATCAATTTTCTTGTCTATAAAGGTGGTGTAATCCCATCTTTTATTTCTGTAACCGGTGCTGGGTGATGTTCATACCAGTGTTTATTAACATCTTTTCCAAAGTGTTTGCACATTGTCCGGTGTAAATATTTGCCCCCACCTCTACCCTGATGTTTTTATATTCATTTGGCGCAAGTACAGAACATCCTGAGATTAGAAGGTCTATGGCTTCCTGATGTTTGTCACAGAATCTGCATTTTGGAATCCACACTATTATGTATGATATTCGCCTGAAAGTTCCTTATGAAAAGACTTTGGTCTTCCGCTGCAAGAATAAAGCCTTTCGTTTCAGCCTTCAATCCAGATGCGACGTAACTATCAATGAGTGTTAACTTTATCAACATCGACTTTATTAGCCTCGTTCTGGATATTGGCCATGCAGAGGTTTTTTCTTGCCAGCGTTGTTTCATCTGTTCAAGAGATTTTTCCTTGGCTTACTTCTATAACTGATACTATTATTATTTTCAACTTCCACATTGTTCCTATTTCGATTTCCAAGTTTTATCCTACGATAGTTTTTTTTTTTCAAATTCCTTGGTTGCTATGTTAAAGTCCGCTGGGCAAGCTATAACAAATAGTAGGTAAGTTTTTTCTTTTCGGTTTTTGGCAATTATGTCCGGCTTATTTACTTCAATCTTCCTGTCTGTAAACATGGTGTAATCCTATAGAATTATGATGTCTTCTATTTCTGTAACCTGTACTGAGTAATGTTCATACCAGTGTTTATTAACATCTTTTCCAAACTGTTTATACATTGTCCGGTGTAAGTATTCTCCCCACTCTATTCTGACGATTTTTATATTCATTTAACGCAAATACAGAACACCCTGAGATTAGATGGTCTATTGGTTCCTGATATTTTTTCAAAGAAACTGCATTTTGGCATTATGCATGATATTTGCCTGAAAGTTCCTTATGAAAAGACTTTGGTCTTCCTCTGTAAGATTAAAGCCTTTCGTTTCAGCCTTTAATCCAGATGCTTGTATCTATCGATGAGTATTAAATTTATCAACATCGGCTTTATTAGCCTCGTTCTGAATATTGGTCATGAAGACGTTTCTCTTGCTAACGTTGTTTTATGTGTTCAAGAGCTTTATATTTGGCTATTTTTTTCTTAATTTTTGCTGCAACAGTTGGTTCTTGGGTTTTGTTTTGGTTTTCTACAGAATCTACTAAATGTAAATCTCGTTTTTATTTACAAACTTCTTTTATTGTTGAATATTTTTCTTTTTCGTTTTCTTGTTTTTTGACTAATCCTCCAATCCATTGTTGTTTTCATGCATGTTAGGAATCCAATCGTTGTTGTCTTTTATGACAATTCCAGCTGAATAAAACCTCTTCCACCTTGTTTGTATGGATATTTAGAGACGGTCTGTATCGTTTTTTTAGAAATTTTAAACCATAAACATTGCCGAGTATGGTTTAAGGTTTACTGATATTTGTTACAAAATCTGCATTTTGGGATCCACACTATTGTGCATGATATTCGCCTGAAAGTTCCTTATGAAAAGACTTTGGTCTTACGCTGCAAGAATAAAGCCTTCCGTTTCAGCCTGTAATCCAGATTATCGTAACTATCAATTGCTCTTCATCCGTTCTACCTTTTGCGTAATCTAATCTGCTTCTATGTTATGCTCTTTAGGGGAAAGGCCATATTTTTTCACCAGAACTTTATAACCTTCTTCATTGTTGTTGTGGATGTCACTTCAATTTTTTGTTTGCCTATTTCTTTAACATTTCTTCGCATCGGATTGAAGGATTTTGTTCTGTCTGTAGAATCTTGATCTTTTTCAGCCTTCAGTTGTATTGTTTGCTGTATTTTTTATTTATTTATCTGATATGACTTCATTTTCATTCATAATTTCGTCTTTTCTTTTCACTCTTCTGCCTTTTCTAGTCCTTACATTTGTTCTTCTTGCCAGTTCATATCGAGTATTAATAATTCACTTCTAAATTGTTCAATTTATTTCTTTATTTTCCTTTTTAAAGATGTCTGCTCATATCCTTGAGCCTGCCTTTTTTACTTTGATGTTTAATTTTTTAGTTGATGTTATTAATGATGCATATATTGCTTCATTGAACAATATACGTGAGTATTTCATCTGGAATTAATTCGAGGTTTGCATTGTAGAACTTAATAGTCTTGAGGATATGTTTTGTTGTTTATAATTTTAGGAGTTGTTCTCGTTCCTCCATTTCAATATTTTGTGTCTGACTTATAATGTCTCATGATTTCTTCCTTGGCTTCTTGTATACTATTCTTGTTTTCAGTAAAATAATTCGGTTCAATATGTTTTGAACTCATTTTATTGCGGGCTTATGAGCGATTAAGATCACGCCTTTCCAACTCTTCTAAACTTTAAGGATTATCTTCACAGTGATTGGTGTGTATCTTACTTTTTTTCATTATGATCTGTGCTTTTAGTACTTTTTATGTCCATTTCTGGTTCCCTTTCATGTCCTGAAGATTCACCAATTCTGGTTGTGGTTCTTTTTTATTTAATTTCAGCATCTATCAATCGCTTATTTCTCATGATGTACCTTCTTACACTGGCTAGTTTATTTTCGTCAATGTACATTCTAATTGTTTGTCCAACCTTTTTTCGCAAAATGTTTGGCGAGTGATGTTTTTTTCTCTGAGGTTTGTACAACGCTTCATAGAATTCAGTCATAATGAGTTTGTACTCCTCACGAGATCATTTTACCTTTTCTTTCTTTAAATGAATGGTTGTGGATCTAGTTGGAGAATTCACACGGCCATCATTTCGAACGTAGGGATTCCTCTTTTGTTTAGTTATTCGTTCCCAACACAGATTTTTCGACCTCAGGTAGGTTGTCCCTATCCCTGAGAGCCGGACCCCCTGTTTATCCACTGTAAGAGCCATACTGGACTTTTTGGGTTTAACTTTTAGTTCTCATATTGTTCACACAAGTGACGCACAGGTTCAAAAGAATTTGGAATTCAAAAAGAAAGTCGTTGGAAAAAGAAGCTATTGAACAAAACAAAATATTATTTTACTCGAGTTTAATATTTAAATAAAATGTTATATATTTATAATTATGCAAAAAAAAAGAGATGGTTATTTTTATTAATTTATTTTTTTTTTCCTGTTGTTGCTATTGCTCCTGTTAACCAGATTAGTTGTTCATTAATTAAAAAAAAATATTATTGTTGCTATCGTCACTTGTCTTTTTAACAAAATTAATTATCAAAAAGTTTTAATAGAAAAGAAAAAGTTAATATTCGTTTCATCAATTTTCGAATTTATACGAAGGATAGCGTAGCACTGCCGTGAAATTTAATAATAATAATAATAATAATAATAGTTTCACAATAAGACAGAAGAATCCAAGGTAATCGCCCAGATAGCAAACAAAAAATTGCTTCCTTATTGATATGGAAGTCCATGCAGACTGCAATGTATCTTTGAAGATCTTCAAAATACAAGGACCTTTAAATCGAAATCTCAAAAATGAGGTACATGTGAATATCGACAATCCCTGTTGTAGTTGGAGCCCTCAGATTGATTGGAAAAGATTCCCATAGACTCACTGAAGGGATTCTTGCTAGCCCATGACTTAAAGAAATACGAAACATTGTTCTCACGAGTACAGCCCACACCTTACGAAGGGCATTATCTAAGTAAAATATGTGTTTCTTTCTTTTTTTTTTTTTTTTTTTGGTTTTGTCATGATGGCATTCTTGATCTTAGGTCTCTGGTCGGGACCCGGAAAGAAATGAGTACACACCAGAAATCAAAGGAAATAATAATAATAATAATAATAATAATAATAATAATAATAATAAAGAAACTATTTTTAAGATATGAAAATTATATGAAACATATCTGCAAATTAGAAAAATAAATAATATTTTACTTATTGACGAATTTAAAGAAAGCTATGATATTTTTATCGGAGTATATTTAAAAATACATTCTTATTTATAACTTATTTGTTTCCATATATATATATATATATATATATATATATATATATTTTTAAGACATTTTATGTTTATACATTCTTTTTATAGATATAAATATTTAAGTAAATGCTCTTTTTATAATAAACAGTATTAAACAACATTTACCGGCCTAAATATCCGAGAAATTTTCATTGAAAATATCAAAATTTCTCGGACATTTAGGCCAGTTTTCCTGATTGGCTGTTTAATAGAATCTTTTACTAAGTTTTTCACTCATTTTCTTTCTTTCTTTCTTTCATTTTTCGTTTTCTTTTGTTCATTTTTATTCTGTTTATTTCATTTCTTTTCTTTTTCGTTGCTGCTATTAATTATACCCTCCTTTTTTCTTCCTTTCTTTCCTTATTTGTTACTATTCTATTCTTTTTCTTTCCTTTTTGTCTTTATTCCATCTCTCTTCTTCTTCCATTTTCATTCTTTCTTTTTATGTTTGTTTTATGACATTTTCTTTTCTCCTTTATTTTTCACTTTCTTTGTTTTTATAACATTTTCTTTCTTCTTTCTTTCTTTCTTTCTTACGTTCGTTTTATATCTTTTCCTTTCTTTCTTTTTGCCTTCCTTTGTTTTATACCATTTTCTTTCTTTCTTTTTTCTTTCTTTCTTTCTTTCTCTCTTTCTTTCTTTCTTACGTTTGTTTTATATCATTTCCTTTCTTCTTTTTGCCTTCCTTTACCATTTTCTTTCTTTTTTCTTTGTTTCTTTCCCCCTTCTTTCTTATGTTTGTTTTATGTCATTTTCTTTCTTTCTTTCTTTCTTTTTGTCTTCTTTTTTATATCATTTTCTTTATTTCCTATGTTTGTTTCATATAAGTTTCTTTCTTTCTTTTTGTCTTTCTTTGTTTTATACCATTTTCTTTCTTTTTTTCTTTCTTTCTTTTTTTCTTTCTTTCTTACGTTCGTTTTATATCATTTCCTTTCTTTCTTTTTGCCTTTGTTTTTATACCATTTTCTTTCTGTTTTCTTTCTTTCTTTCCTTCCTTCCTTCTTCTTTCTTACGCTTGTTTTATACCGTTTTCTTTCTTTCTTTCTTTCTTTCTTTCCTACTTTCTTTCTTTCTTTCTCACAGTCCATTCGTCTCCGACGTTAGTGTTGACCCCCCCCGCTACTTCACCCTAACAACATACAATAGAATCCTAAATAGGAAGGAAAAATGATCTGCCACTCAACCTCTCCAATTCACTATAACAAATCTCACCTCAACGCCTTTGTCTCCTGTGCACTGCAACCAGCAACCTACACCGGAAGAAGAAAACAACGCATACAAAATGGCGGCAGGAGACAATCGGTTGTAGAATTAAGAAGAAATGAGAACCAGATAAAAAAGGGAGGATAAAGAATCAAGGAAAGAAAAGGGTTTTATTTTTAATTTAATATTTTGTTGTGGCGTCTTCCCTTGACTGAAGGGTGATCACTGGGAGGTCGTTATTGTGGTCTCCTAAGCGAATTAGCATGCATTTTGTTAATAGCCCTATTTAACGATAAGTGTTTTGTCGTGTGTTTGTGGTTCTTGTCTCCAGAGGAAGCGACGTGTGGAATAATAGTTATCACAGAACACTGAGTTCGAATTTCTGTTTTTGCAGCTTCTGTCTATTTAATCTCAGATCGAAATAACAAACAAACAAAGCGACAAAAAAAACAAAAAAACATCCAGTTTTAGAAAGTGACTCACCGTGAAACAGTGGTTAGCAAGTTCATCTTATTACTTCAAATACAAATAAACACTGTTGAATAAATAAAAATGGATCCTCGATTTAAAATAGGAAGTGTCCACTATAATCACTCTAGTAGACACTTCCTATTTTAAATAGACGCTCCGTTTTTTATTTATTCAAGAGCGTATATGATGTCTGTCGATCGGTGCGTTCGAGATATCTCAGTAAGGAACAGTTGTTCTTGGCAGGGGATCGGAGTAGGGGTGGGGGGAACCAGCATTTGATCCTGCCAGTTTGACCACTCGGACACGAAGAGCTTGACAGAAAATCAGGCTAGATTTTCACTTCATAAGAAAAGCATACCCTCTTCACTCAGATTAATTGCTCTAAAGCTTCATCTCTACTCAGTTTCGTAACCGAAACGTAAACAAAGCAATTTCTAAAGAATTAATGGATTTATTTTTATTTACATTATACAAACTGTTATCCTCATTTTATGTTTATACATTCTTTTTATAGATAGAAATATTTAAGTAAATGCTCTGTTTATAATAAACAGTATTAATAACATTTACCGGCCTTTTAATGTCCGAAAAATTTTCATCGAAAATATTCGTCCTCCGACAGGATTCGAACCTGTATCCTATACAGAACCGTCATATAGCCTGACGTGCATTTTAACCGATTCGGCCACAGAGGATCGTTCAGTTAGCAAGGTCTAATTTACTTCTTTTAAACCTCAATCATCCATGAATCTCTCTCGTACATTCATATCTGCTCATGGCGTATCAAATGTAAACAAATGACGTCACCCATTATGGATGATTGAAGTTTAAAAGCAGTAAATTCGACCTTGCTATCCTCTGTGGCCGAATCGGATAAAAGGCACGTCAGGCTATATGACGGTTCCGTATAGGATACAGGTTCGAATCCTGTCGGAGGACGAATATTTTCTATGAAAATTTCTTAGACATTCAGGCCGGTAAATATTGTTCATTATAAACAGAGCATTTTATTGAATATTTGTATATATAAAAAGAATTTCATAATGTGTTATCTTCATTGTTAAATTCACGACGTTTCAGCTGTTGTATGCTCCGGCCTTCTTCGGGGGATTGGAATTTCGAACCAGATCCTTTATTTCATTCACCGGGGTAGATTTTTCTAGTTCAACGTGCCATGCCTCTTCCAGATGTCTCAGTTGCTGTATTCTTGTATTGAACTCACAACTCTTTGTGTCCAGTCACTGGATCTAAATAACGTCTTTATCCACTGGCTCATTTGTCCTTGTTGAACTAGAACAATGTACCCCAGTGGACGAAATAAAGGGTTCCGTTCGAAATTCCAATCACCTGAAGAAGGCCAGAACGTACAACGGCGGAAACGTTGTGAATATGGCAATGAAGATGAGGATAACAGTCCGAATAATGTAAATAAATATAAGTGATGGTAATTTCAAGCCGAACACTTAATTTCGTCTACAGGGGTAGATTGTTCTATTTCCACGTGTCATGCCTCTTTCAGATTATTTCCCTTTAATCGAAGAGACCGTGTTACAATTCCGGTTTGATTCGTTATATTCACTTACACTCAAATGCCCTTAGGTTAATTGGTAAGTCTTGTAGCACTGAACCATTTGTCCTGGGTATGGACGATAATCTACATCCGCGTCCAGGATAAGACAATAAACTACGTCCAACAGCAAGGTCTCTGATAAAACGTTTTTGAAAAAAAAAAAATATTACCAGCTGTACATTTTTGAGAAAAGAAATATTAACAGAAATGGATTTTTGACAAAACCAAAAATATTACCAGGAAAAAAAAAGTTGTCGGCATTAAATGACCCATTGAGGTTGATATGCGGTAAAACAAAACAAACAAACTGAACCATTACTTTTTTTTAAAAAAGAAAAGATTCTTACAATCTATCAATAAAAACGATTTCTGGCTTTAAATAACCTGCAATGGAAAGCCGTAGAAAACGAATAAAAGAATCAATGCCGTATATAGATTCTAAAATATTTAATTTATATTAAGATGAGGACAATAGTCCGAATAATGTAAATAGTGTACATAATACCTCATCTCAGAAATATAGACAGATACTGAAAGGCTGAAACATTGTAATAAATATGGCGACAAAGATGAGGACAATAGTCCGAATAATGTAAATAGTGTACATAATACCTCATCTCAGAAATATAGACAGATACTGAAAGGCTGAAACATTGTAATAAATATGGCGACAAAGATGAGGACAATAGTCCGAATAATGTAAATAGTGTACATAATACCTCATCTCAGAAATATAGACAGATACTGAAAGGCCGAAACGTTGTGATAAATATGGCGACAAAGATGAGGACAATAGTTCGAATAATGTAAATAGTGTACATAATACCTCATCTTAGAAATATAGACAGATACTGAAAGGCCGAAACATTGTAATAAATATGGCGACAAAGATTAGGACAATAGTCCGAATAATGTAAATAATGACCGTAATACATCCATCCTGTTTATTTTTTTTATTATTTGTATCATATTATCCATTTAAAACTGAAGGTTCTCCATGTATTTCAGTAAAATAATTATTTTTTTACGATATTAAAGAATAGAAATGAAACGGAAGTTTAGCCATTTTGTGTTGTGCCTCCCATTTTCCGTTTCAAAACTTACAGCCAAATTTTGGAGGAAAGGTGCAAACTGGACAAAGCTTGGAATGAAAACTAAAATAAAAGCCAAGATTTAAAACTTCCAACAAAAAAAGTTAATAGATTAAAATTTATAGACATTCCTATCTAAAAAATTTTTCAAAAGTTCTACCATATTATTAATTAAAATCTCAATGTTGTCCAAATATTTCGCTAAAACATTTAATTGTTCTCGATATTAAAGAACAGGTTTAGCCATTCCGTGTTTCGTCTCCCAAGTTCCGTTTCAAAACTTACTGGCGAATCTTTTGTGCTGTGCGTAATTTCATTCTTTTTGTTTCAAATAAGAATATTTTTAAACTTAGTAAAATACATGAAATCATGTACTTTTCGCCCTTAAGTTTCGTTCAAAATTGTATTATACATCCAGAAAAATACGATTCTGAGTTTTAGGTAAGATGTCGAAATCGAGCAACTATAAAGATTTATATGTCTGGGAAATTTTTATCACTTTAAACATTATTTTTCATGGGAAACCCGTATTTTTGTAGACATTCTGTTTATTTTAAACAGTATTTATTTCGTCTACCGTCCTACATACTCGAGAAAACTTAATACAGAAATTGTCTCATCAAGCAAGATTCGAAACCGCATCCCCCTTTGTAAGTTGGGGAAGCACCGTTTTATTTGGTGTGATTTTACCGTTCGGCTACAAAATGAAAGATATCTTGAATGGTTACTGTTCTAGATTTTTTGCATAAATGCAGGTGCTCCCCAGGTTTTCATTAATTTTTCACATCAATGAATAGAAATGAAACGGATGTTTAGCCATTCCGTGTTTTGTCTCAAGTTCCGTTTTAAAAATTATTGCCGAATCTTTCGTGCTGTGTTTATTTTCATTTCAAAAAGACACTCCATATATAATTATATATAATTATTTGCAATAACTGTATGGTTTAAATTATATTACACACCAGAATATTACGCTCTTGAATTTTAGGTAAGACTAGCAGCATGGCCGGGCGTAGTCCGTGCTTGATTCAAAAATCGTACGACTCATACAGCAATTGCTATCACTTAACATAAAATATTTTTGCCCTTCCTTGCCTTTAAAGGAGTGTCCTTTGCCGTGCTGATGTTGCTACATGCCTTACTTCTTGCCTATCTCACACTGTGAATTTTTCTAAGCTCTATACTAAACATTAAATCTGTTAAGAAAAAAGAACTAAACAAAATGAAAACAAAACGATCAGCTTTAAAAAAAGAACTCGTAACTGGAAAAACCGAATGAAAAAAGAATGTTAACAACAAATACTTTTTTCACACTCAACCCAGTTCTGCGGAATCAGAATCAACGTTGAGTTTAAGCAAGCGAATGAGCCAATTGGAGTAAAGTGCCATGCAGATTTAAATTTTTCCCACTTGTGACGAATGCAGCTATCGATTTTTTTTGCATGCTAGCATGCTAGTTAACATTCGTGTCAGTCAGCTGTTGGCTCTCACGCTGGTCAATAGAATCTTCCTGCCTATTCGTGACAGCCAGCTATAGGCTCACACTCTGGCCAGTAGAAAATGGCCGCAAACTACATGAAAACTAACCGTAAAAGCATGAAAAAATCGATTATTTCCACTATCGATGAGAATTGGGAAATGCAAAGTCGGTCTTGGCCTTCTGGCTAACTTGGAGCATGTGCATGTAAATTTTGGTGCAAATCCGTCGAAAATTGCGGCTGTGCATTCGTTACACACACAGACACACACACACACACACACATCTTGCCTTTTATAGGTAGAGATGCCGAAATCGAGC